AGTTTTCTAAGGAAGCAGACTCTAAGATGGAATTTTGGAGCTGGATTACTAACCTGCTGGCTGGAAGAAAGACCTCATCACCAGTGGTAGTCGGATAGGAATATGGGTAGCTCCTGGCATGCTGGAGTGGTGTCATTGTTAAAACTTTCACCACTGACGAACTGAGATGGAATACAGACATTAGGGAGTACACTGGCTACTGTAGTCTCTTTGATGCTTGGGAGGTATGAGAAATGGTAAGTATAAGGTCTATAGAAGTTTGTTAAGGGGCCGGGCGTGGTGGCTCACGCCTGTAATCCTAGCACTTTGGGAGGCTGAGGCGGGCGGATTGCTCAAGGTCAGGAGTTCGAAACCAGCCTGAGCGAGACCCCGTCTCTACCAAAAATAGAAATAAATTAATTGACCAACTAATATATATAGAAAACATTAGCCGGGCATGGTGGCGCATGCCTGTAGTCCCAGCTACTCGGGAGGCTGAGGCAGTAGGATCGCTGAGCCCCAGAGATTGAGGTTGCTGTGAGCCAGGCTGACGCCATGGCACTCACTCTAGCCTGGGCAACAAAATGAGACTCTGTCTAAAAAAAAAAAAAAAAAAAAAAAGAAGTTGGTTAAGGGATACCTGAAGACAGAAGGAATTAGTTCTAGTATTTGATAACATAGTAGGGAAACTGTAGTTAAAAATAATTTATTGCATATTTCAAAATAGCTAGAAGAGAAGATCTGTAATGTTCCCAACACAAAGAAAAGATAAATGTTTGAGGGAATGGATATCCCAATTACCTTGACTTGATCATTACATATTGTATACAGGTTATCAGTATCACACACACTCCCAAAATATATACAGCTATTAAAATTTTAAAAGGACTATTGAAATGGATGGCTGAGTATCTTGATATCTATGAATGATATGATTTAAGATTTAATTAAGGTTAGTTCAAAAATTCAGTAAATATTTAAATGTCTACTATATGCCCATAACATATAAATATAAAACAAAGGTGAAACTGGGATCTTCCACAGTCATAGTATCTTATTAATTTCAGCCGTCCATGATACGCTTCTCATTCCCCCTTCCTCAAAGGTAGGGGTTCTCAAACTGCTGCACTTGGAATCACCTGAAAGTCATCTAAAAATACAGATGCCTGCCTCCTACCTCTAAGCCCAGCCATTCTGACTTACTTGGTATGAGGTGCAACCTGGGCATCAGGAATTTTTTAAAGCTCCCCAAGTGATTCTAATGTGAACCAAAACTGGAAATCATTCAGACAGATATCTCCTACCTATCAAGGAGATTTTAAATTTATTTCACACTTTTGATTGCTTAATAATGCCTTAAGCTTAACAGAGATCATTATGACAAATTTGCATGATTTATTTCTCATTTTTTCTAGCTGTTTGCTGAGATAATTTTGCAAAGATTATTTTTTAAACTAATGTTAAAAGGGACAAAACTGAAGGACAATTCCTTGCATATTGCTGAAATAAAATTTGCTTCTGAACTATAGGCAACATATGCATTAGCAAATATACAAACTTTTCCTTTTCAAATGGTTTGTATTTGCATTTACAATATTAAAATGGTGCCACATGTTTAACAATTCTTTCATTACTTCCCCTTCCCGGATGACATACTGTTCTATTGCACTTTTGAGTTGATGAAGCACATTAGCTGATGAGGTTTTGGACCCTCTCCTAGCATTATTTTCTGCAACAGGCCCAGGCAGGCCTTGGAAGTTATGAATAGAACAGTAGAATAACAATGTACTTAGATTTCAGGAAAGAACAATCAAATAGAAACTAAATATCATCCAAGGTTTCCTTGGTTACTTGTTTATGATGATTTTCACACCTTATTTAAAATCACCTCCTTTATGTTAATGACAATTACACCTTCTGTTTTAATTAACATTCACTCAGAGACTATTTACTGCCCACCTCCTACACAGACACTAAGTTGTGGGAGGGCAGTAAAAAGAAAAACAAAATTCAACTTTCCTTTTAAGAGGCTTATAATCTAGAAGAGGAAATTAAATATATACACAAGTGGCTACTTGGATGCAGAGTTTGAGACATAGAATATTCAAAATTTACTCCAAGTTTCAAGCACTTGTAACCAAGAGATTAATGTTATCATTGAAAGAATTAAGGAGTTCAGTGGAAGGGCCAGTATGAAACAAACAGTGATTAATTCAAATTGAGGAATACTGAGTTCGCAATGGCATTAAACACCCAATCAGTAATGTCCACTGAAAAAATGTTAGAATTAGCAGAAGGTCCAACCTTGCCCAGACTAAACCAACCTCAGATTTAAGTAGAAGAGAAAATGCTGAAATTTGAAGGACAAAAATAATTCTCCCACTGTTCTTGTGTGATGTACAAAATTCTCAACATAAGACATTTGCTTAAGACATTGTCTTTCAAGGATTTCTTTTTTGTTATTATTTTTAAGTATTACAGGGGTACCAATGTTTTTGGTTACATGGATTGCTTTTGCAATGTTTGAGTCAGAGTTAAAAAGTGTGCCCATCACCAAGATAGTGTTCATTGTACCTGTTAAGTACATTTTCGCCCATTCCCTCTTCTCCCCTCTCCCTGCTGCCTGATTTCCATTGAGTCTTACTTCCCTTTATGCACATATGTGCTCATCAATTAGTTCTAATTTAATAGTGAGTACATATGGTGTTTGTTTTTCCATTCTTTAGATACTTCACTTAGGATAATGGTCTCCAGTTCCATCCAAATTAGTACAACCTCTACAGAAAACAGGATGGAGATTCCTCAAAGAACTTGACCTACCATTTGATCCAGCAAATCCCACTACTGGGTATTTACACAAAAGAAATCATTTTATCAAAAAGACATCTGCACTCAAATGTTTATTGCAGCAAAATTCACAATTACACAGACGTGGAATCAACCCAAATGCCCATCGATTCATGAGTGGATTAACAAAATGTGGTAAATGTATACCATGGAATACTACTCAGCCATGAAGAAGGATGACTTAATGCCTTTTGCAACAATAAGAATTTCTTTTTGAAAATGTTAGATGAGTTATTCATGGTGGAACAACAGGATGGTGCTCTTTTGGGGTGAGGGGATTAAACCTGGGTAAGGAACCATAGAAAATGAGGCATATGGAGCTTCTGGCCATCTGGAATGAGGAAGAACAAAAAGAAGGGAAAGCAGCATAGACATATTTTACCTTCTTATTATGCCTGTAACAGAGAATCAAATGGTATAAAACACAACAATGACCGAAATGACCTTGTGCAAGTAACAGCTTCTAGAATTGCATTTCCTCATTTTAAAATGAGGGAATTCAACTTTATCACTAAGGTATAGTCAAGCCCCAAACTTTACCAATAAAGGTAAACCTTGAAAATCTGTTTCTACATTTGTCTTCTTGGTTTTAAACTTCACCTATAAACCGAAAATATTTATGCTTATAAAACCTTAGAAATAAAGTAATTTTAAAATATCATCTAAATTGAATGTTAAATTTGCTGGACTTGTGATATAATAATCTTACAATTTGCCCTATTTGATTGCTTTAGTTTCTCTTCCTTAAACTACAAGCTACATCCCTAGACTCACTTATTCATTTGCAAATGAATGCCATTGCTAAGGAGGTGAAAAGTATCAATGTTTTAGCAAAATTCCACTTCTGAAAGAAAGTAAATATTTTTTTATAACAGCAAGAAAGTAGCAACATTTTATAAAAACTATGAACTGATTCCACAACCCACACATAAACTCAGTCTCATTATGGTCAAACCACATATTGAAACAAAATTGCATATCCCAAAATCTTACCTAATAAAATTCTACAGCTATGCAACGTTGATTTGAACTCAAAAGAAATGTTTAGTGTGGCCTAACCTTGTAAGTGAAACTTTTTTACTGATAAACTAAATGAATCCTAAAATATACTATATGATGCTTCTTTTTTGTAAAGTTACTTGAAAATCTACCTAAAGTATTTTTGGAGAGGTAACAGAGGCCAATCAGTGGTGGGCAGGAGCCAGGAAACTGAATCTGTTTAATTACAGCCTAGAGAAGATGATGGATCCTTCACTGACTCAATAAATAAAGAACATTCTGGTAGGGCCACTCCAATCATCTGCTGCGCTATAGCTGATTCCACTGACCAGACCTTCCGATGTGGGGTTGCCGATGCAGCAGTTTCTCTTGAGTTTATCTGTGTGAATGACCCTGTTTAGACAGCCTGGCTGTTGTGAGAGTCCTCTCCTGTGGGCTAACCCTTCTCAAGATTTACTTCCTCCTGCCGGCCCCTGACTAGGAGAGGGATCCTCTCAGAGTTGGTCCTGAGCCTTCTGCTTTCCTCATTCTGTTCCCTATTTGAGAATAATACACTGCTGCAGCCACCCACTCTGGTGTCCTGGGTTGTTGAACAACAACAGCAGGTGCTGGCAGGTCAATGAAGAAAAAGCCAACATACCTCCCTTGGAGAACCACTTGTCCTCGTGACCTCAGCTATCACAGCTTCAGAAAACTGCTCACTATTTTCAGTTCTGGTCTCTTGCCAGAGTTCCAGCTCCATGTACATAACTCCACCACGGTATTCCTCCATTATTTACCTAAAACTAAAATTGCCTACACTCAAAATCATACTTATCCTCTGACTAGATTTGCCCCCTCAACATCTCTACCTGTCTGTCATCAAAATCTGGAAGTTGATCTGGTTCTCTCTCTCCACTCAAAGCAATCACCAAGTCCTGTAAAGTTTCTTCACAAAGTCTCTCTCATTCATCCCATCTTTTCTACATTACTTCATATCCAGACTTATTAATAAAATAATCTCCTAAAAGGACTTTCAGTCTCCTCTGTCTCTCCCTCTTTCAATCTGTGCTATTAATATTTAATTAATCTTTGTAAAACAACATGTTGTACACATCTGGGACTCCTCGGTCAGAATGAGATTAAACCTCCCTAGGCTAACATTTAAAGTCCACCATGACTTATCCCCAACTTACCTGCCTCTCTAATCTTATTTCCCCAATGGGGACACACTCATTGCTCTTCCAACTGGCCACGTATATCACAGTCTTTATGAATTTGCTTGTGTTTTTCCTTCACCAATTGCTCCTGCTATGTCATATTTTTCCTTCTAGACTCAGCTTGATCACATCTTTTCCATACAGCCTTTTCTGTGTCCCAAATTTTGGTGATTTTCCTCTTCCTTTTTCCTAAATGTTGGCAATAATGAAGCTTACATTAGCCATCATGGTTCCTAAAGCACTTTTTAATAGAACCATCTTGATACAAATATAATTATATATTACATAAATAGAATATATAACAGTGGTCCCCAATCTTTTTGGCACCAGAGACCAGTTTCATGGAAGACAGTTTTTCCAGGGATGGGGGCGGGGGTGAGGGAGAAGGGGGAGGCAGAGCTCAGACTGTGAGCGATGGGTAGCAGCCACAAATACAGATAAAGCTTCACTTGCTCACCCACCACTCACCTCCTGGCTATTCGGTCCCCAGTTCCTAAGTTTCATGGAGGACAATTTTTCCAGGACTGGCGGGGGAGCTCTGTGGCCCAGTCAGTCCCTAATAAGCCACCAACTGGTATCACTCCCCAGACCAGAGGTTGGGGACCACAGATATAAAACATAAACATGTATTCTTAATATAGTAATATAAATTATTATCTTAATATTAACATAGTATTCTATATTAACATAATTAATATAACATGACTATATTAATTATCTATACAAACTGTCTATCTCCCAACATAAATCTCTAGGGACTCTGTTCTCTTAAGTTGGAAAATATGCAACATGTTTGCTCCTACTGCTGAAGCCATAACTAAGAGCTCCAGCAAGTTTAATTATAAAGCCTATCTTGTTAGATTATGATTTACCTAAAAGATAAATTAATTTAACATTTTTATACTGAAAGCATCTGGTGCTGATCAATCAATAAATATAAACAAGAAGCTAATTAAGAATCTGGTACACTCTTACTAATGAGAGTACAATGAAATGGAACCAGAAGTATGGAATTATAAAAACTGCTGGCAGTTCATTTTAGCTCAAAATAAAATCTCCTCTCATAATAGATTCATTGATTTTTTTAGTACTTCAAAGACACTAAACTGATTTCAGTTTAGTCTTGCTTCAACATATAAACTAGTCCCTAAGTATACTATCATGAACGTTAATAAGGTAATCTGACATTTATTGCTCTCTATAAAAACCAAAATATGGTTTTTCATTTCCCAAGAGAAAATACACATTTTTAAAAACAGATTGAAAAAGAAGCTGCTAAAATCCAGTAATTTCTAATCAGTATGACTCTTCACCACTTCCTCCCGTAACAACATTCTTCAAAAGCTGTAGGAGACAGGAAATGTTCAGATGGTGTGTTTGCATGTGGTGAAGGGAAGGAGTACCTTGTCCCAACCTTTTGTATTAACAATTCTCAATTCCCATCACTCTAGTCTTGTATCTAGGAGTGGTAAATTGAGCCAATATAAATCTGCCAGAGCTAAAGTAGTAGAAGGTATTTTGTTTTCTATATTGTTCTTAGTTTCCTCCTAATCACCAACCTCACCTCCTCTCTTAAGAGCTCCTTTTCCCATCTCCCTGATCACCAATAGCCCAGAAATTAAAACAGTAAACAATTCCCCTGAAAGGTGCCTTCCTGGTGCTATCTAAAACAAATGCAATCTTCTGTTTGGGCATTTAAAACACCACAAGCATTCTTACTTGGATTAAATCATGGGTCTCCCTGGTCTCCAGGCATGCCTAGACATGAACCATAAATAGAATGAGATCCTTAGAGTTTCTCTAGTAACTGCAGGCCAAATCAACAGCAACCCTAAGAACAAGCATTCTTTTTTTAAAAAAAAATAGAACTAGGCCACACACATTTTGGGTCGTTATTTTTTAGTTGTACTACATACAAAATAAACTGCATTTTTTCAAAATTACTTCAGTAGGCAATGCATCTTGATGACTTGTATATTTGAGTTTTCCTTATTTTTTATTGCCTTTGAAGAAAGTTTTAAAAAATCCAATTTTCAAGGCATCTAATGCAATGTGGATGGCAGCAATCCAGGTGAGGTAAGATATTTAAGATGCAACTAATAATCAAAAAACATTAATTGGGAATAATGGAATATTGTACTAGGTAAAAATGACTAACAATTTGAAAGGACAGAATTGTTTTTATATCCTAACCAAGATTTATAAGTCTGCATATTGTTAATGGAACCACTTCTGGTTTTATTTATACATGTATATTTAAGTGAGTGTGATTTATATGACATGTGCTACAACGTTGTGCCTATCCCAAAGATAAGATGAATACAAAATATAGCTAGTTGGAAATGACCTGTCTTTTATCATTTAATTTTACAAGTTAATTTTTATAATTAAATTTTTTGTACTGTACATTTTATACTTTGGTTTCCTTCTCTTCACTTTGGTATTTAAAGTATGCATGGGGGGAAAAAGTGCTGTCTTTCATATGCAAAGATAATGCTATAACTTAAATATCCTTGGGAAGTTCTGGTGTTTTAATAGTGTGAGTTTGGAATTTGTGTTGAATGATCCAGATTACCTGCCCCTATTCATGTTACTAGTGACATCTGTAAGACAGTTTGCTGCTTTTAGAGAATCAACTTATGGCTGGGAAGTTTTCTTTTGTGGAAAATAATTTAGAACTAAGCCTTCCCGGTCGACAATGAATACTCTATACTGGGTGCATGAAGACCATATTTTACTCGAATTTCCCAATGAGTTCTATAAAGTGAGGATAAGGAGAATGTTCCTATCTTCTCCTGATTCATTCATTAAAGGAAAAGAGGGGAAGGGGTGACCAAAGGAAGGAATTATTAGTAGAGAGCTCCCAGAAATTCTCTGGAACAGTCCCCTTCGCCCAACCTACCCCAAATACAAACACATCTACATCATCGGACATGGAACTGTGATAACAGGAAAATGTAACTGTCACAAGACATTGTTTCTCCAGCCTCCACAGGCCTCACCCTGGATATCCAAATTTACTCTTGCTTCAAGGATCCACTCAAGTCTCCCCTCCATAAAACTTCTCTGACCTATTTATTACAGCTCTCATTGACGGGCCCCATTTCTATTTCTATCAGTTAAGCTTACCCAGTTTAGTAATTTATTATACACTGTCTTGAATGATAAACAATGTTTGCTTTGTGTCACGACCTAGATTGTACATGTAAAGGTATTAATAGAAAGAGAGACCTAGGTGCTTAGCGTATAACAGGTAGTTAAATAATTTTGCCTAAGACTGACCTTGAGAGTACTGAACTGTGGCCTTGATCTCCAGAGGACCACCATACTTTGATCTATCTAACAAGCTGGCCAGCTCATTATTTGACCAGCAGATCCAGCCTTCACCCCACTGCATGGCCCTCTGCCCAGTATGAGACCAAGTCCCCAGCAGACTGCAAGGGTGCAGATGGGCCTCTCCAAGGCGGTCCTCCTGCAAGTCACAGGCTACCCGGGCCTACCTCCACTTGGAAAATTCAAACCTACAATACTGAATGGGCATGAAAACTGGGTGGGCTTGTTGGTTTCTTGGGGAACCGGGAAGGGGAGGAGCTCTGTGCCCCTCCAGCTATATCAGGAAGAGAAACTTCTCAAGAATCTGTGCTTCCATCGCCTAGGCCTCTTCCCTGGAGGCCCCACAGGGGCCCGCCCACAGCCCCTTTCTCGCAGCTTCCTCCCCTCCCCCACGCCGCCCCTCCCCCACCGTCCCATCTAGCGCCCGCCCCGCCCCCCCGGCCCGCGGGGTTCCAAGGGCGGTTGGCCAGCCACGGCCACGGTCATTCGGCCACTCGGAGCTGCGGGGCGCACGGGGTTGGCAGAGCCGGCACTGGGGTTTGGGCTGGGAACCGAGGAGAAGTTTTCTGAGGCGGGTCGGGCTGGGCGTGAGGGAAGTGGGAGCCGGGGCCGGGGAAGCGAAGGGGGAAAGGAGCGGGAAGGGAACCTGGGCGGGAGGGCCCTGCGAGGTGCGGGGGACACTGCGGGGAAGGGGAGGCCCGGGGGTCACCTGGGGTCGGGGCGCGGCGCGGCCGGCGAGGGTGCCCGGTGGGCCCGGAGGTGTCCTCGGGGGGAGCCCCTCGCCCTGGCCTCGCGCCCCTGGCCACTGTCGGGCGTCGCCCCGGGGGAAGTGGGGAGGCCCGGGCGGGCCCCGACCCCGCAGCCCGCCGGCTCGGGGACACCGCGTCGGCGCTGCGGACCGTCCGGGAGGAGCTGCAGCCGCGGGCGCCCGGTGCTCGGTTTGTAGGCAGTGTAATTAGCTGATTGTACTGTGGCGCTTACAATCACTAACTCCACTGCCATCAAAACAAGGCACAGCATCACCCGCCGCCTGCCGGGAGGAGGACGCCGGGCAGCCTCCGGGCGGAGACGCCGCGCCGGCGGTGCGGTGCGTCGCGTCGGACCCGCGCTGCGCCGCCCCGCGAGCGCGCCGGGGAAGTGCCGGGGAACCCCCGGAAACTTTCTCTGGCCGGAGAGAAATGGTTAGCTGCCTCACGCAGCCGAGGCGAGGTGAATCAACCCTCAAACGCCAGGAGAGCGAGATCCGTGGAGCTTTATATGGCTCTGAGATTTAAAGGCATGGAAACTGCGAGAAGTCCCCCTCGTAACGGTTAACCCTGTGTGCTCTGATGCGTTGTGCCTGTCTTTTCGTTATTTAGTAGGGTGTTGACCACGCCGGCAGAACTCAGCGAGCTGCAGCTTAACCGGTGGCTTGCCTGTCGCAGCGTGAGGGGCCACCGACTTGAGACAGCGGTTGTTTCCTGTGAGTCTAGTTACTAGGCAGTGTAGTTAGCTGATTGCTAATAGTACCAATCACTAACCACACGGCCAGGTAAAAAGATTTGGGAATTCATCCAAATGAGCTGCCTGGGCATCGCCAATGTGCTTGGTGGGGGGAGAGGAGGGGCACTGGAATATGCTGATGTCATCCATGGCCACGTTAACCAAGGGCCCAGCCAAGAGAAACATCAACATTTTGGCTACTAAACATACAGTGTTTATGTGATATGTATGAATGTGCATATATAGATTTATTTGTCAGTATTCCTTCAGACTTAACAGAAAAGATTTAGATATATTGGGGAATAAGGTTTTTCCTTAGCTGATCTATGTTTTTTTTTATATGTGCTTGTGATTATCAACTTTGAACTCTGTGTACTATATTGTTAGTCACATTTTGAAGGAATAAAGTGCCTTAAAGACATAAATGGTAGTTATTGTCTTGTGACCATTTCCTTTTCCAGATTGGCTTTATGTTGTCCATCTCAGTTCCTGCCACAGTAATTACAACTTTTCTTATCTCTGAAATGGCTATATTGTTCCTGTGTAACAAAATCTCTGGGGAAAGCTACACACACACACGCACACACACACGCACACACACGATAATACTTTTATAAGAATACGTTAACAAATTTTTTTCATAATTCGAAAGGACTTGAAGGGACTTGGTCCACTCATTAGATCCCTTCTTTTAGTAATCATTTACAACTGTTGCACTCTAGGCAACTTATAGTGGCAATCATTATTAAATGCAGTTAAAATTTAAATCTAGCTTGTTCCCTAAGATTTGTCTTAAAGGATTAGGGGAGGGGGAAAAAATGACTAAAACTATATACACGGGTACCTGTGGCCCAGTTCAGGCCTCTAGCTCCCACGGGCTAGGCTTCTAGCCGCCCTATTGAATTCTCCAGCGCAGGTCTCAGAACCTTCACGAAGCGTACGGGCAATCGGTCTGGGAGGGGGGATTGGGGCGATGGGGCTGAGGGATTTAAAGTTTATGTAGCTATCTCAGGGGGTGAGGGAGGCCGACTGAGTATATAAGAGGCTGAAGTGCTCCCCCACTGCCTCCAACAGGACAGGGCACGACCCAAAGCTGTTGTCTTGACTCTCCCATATATCGACTCCAAGGTTTGGACTGGTCCCGAAGCCTGGGGTCACCGCAGAAGTGGGCTTCAGGTGGCCCACAGGCGCGCACTGGACCCCAACACCTACCGAGGAAACTGAGGGCTTCAGGGCGTGGCTGTGGCTGTGACCAACTTGGCGGTTCTCGGAGGGGCGGGGCTGGGGGAGGGGCGAGGGAGCCGGGAGAAGCGTCCTGCGTTGCCATGGAAACGGGGCCCAGCGGAGGTCCTGGCGGCCCAGAGGAGTCCCACGAAGTTTGCTCCCCGGGACTACTGGTGTTCGCCGGCTCCTTGGAACAGGATGTCAACCTAGCTAAGCAGTTCTGGATCTCGGCGTCCATGTATCCCACTAACGAGAGTCAGCTGGTGCTGTGCGGAAGCAGCAGTCAGCGGCTGCCCGTGACAGGGACCTCTAAGAGCAATGTGTCTGGTGAGTAAAGTAGCTGCCTCCTGCTAGTGACATCCGCCAGGACCAACTAAAATAAGAATCTTTCATTTCGAATGTCTAGATGGTATATACAAATAATTATAGGTACATATAGTTCCTGAACCTTCCCAGCAATCCTTCCACCCAAGAAGAATCAGTGGTGTATTTGTGACATTTTAAAAAATACATCTTAAGCGTCCCTGAAATTATGGCATCTATTTGGTAAGTAAACAGTATAGAATAATCTGAGGAGGTGTTGTTGTATGTTGGCTGAAAGGATATTAAGAAAAGTAGTTTCTATAACTGAATTTAAACATGGAAGCCCTAGAGAAAGTTGAAGGTGGGGTCAACATGAGGAACCAAGTTCCCTGATCTGGAGGCCTTTAGTGAGGCCTAGGATGTGGATACTGTTATCATGCAATTTTTATAGGTACAGAAAATTCAAATACCTTTAATGTCGTGCTATGTCTGATGAGTTATTTACTTTCCCTTTGAATTTTTTAGATAAAAATCAACCCCAGTCTTTTCGCCTTGAGGATGGCAGTAAGTACCAAGTTTTATGCCTTTCAACATCCTGACTCCTAGCTTTTTAAGAAAATAGGTAGTAAGTACAGAGGTACCGCTACACACTTTGGCATAACTTTCTGAATCGCATACCTAAGACCCTGCCTCAGGGACCACCCTACTTATCCAGAACAAAATGCCTAAATCCCATAATAGGTTAAATAGGAATATAGAAATTGAAATCTCTGATATATTTTCTTTGGAGACCTTTTTTTTGTCTCTGAACTCAGGCTTGCTCATCTGCTCCAGTTAATTAATTCAGTTTCCAATTATTTATGAAACTGTTTTATAAAGTTTCATGACACAGCATGTATGTTTACCTTCCTACTCTGTGTTAGTATCTTTTATCCCTTATCCTATTTTATATCAATGTTATTATACAATCATGATAAAACATATTTCATATTGAATTTGACTTTATTCTCTTTAGAGGAAAAAGATTTCATTGCTGAAGTCATAAAGATTCAGAAATCTGAGGAGAAAGAAAAGTATCTTCAAAAGGTAGGCCAATATTTCAAAAGATGATCTGATTTTTATTAAATTTCCAAATAATCCTGATTTTTTAAAAACATGTATATAAAAACTTATTTCTAAGCCGGGCGCGGTGGCTCACGCCTGTAATCCTAGCACTCTGGGAGGCCGAGGCGGGCGGATTGCTCAAGGTCAGGAGCCTGAGCGAGACCCCGTCTCTACTATAAAAAATAGAAAGAAATCAATTGGCCAACTAATATATATATATAAAAAATTAGCCGGGCATGGTGGCTCGTGCCTGTAGTCCCAGCAACTCGGGAGGCTGAGGCAGTAGGATTGCTTGAGCCCAGGAGTTTGAGGTTGCTGTGAGCTAGGCTGACGCCACGGCACTCACTCTAGCCTAGGCAAGAAAGCGAGACTCTGTCTCAAAAAAAAAAAAAAAAAAAAACAACTTATTTCTAGTATGTCAGCGTCAGCAAATTGGAAAAGCCTTTCTTAGGATTTTAATTGAAGTTAAGGAATTCTATTAAACTTTGACTATTCTCAATCTCAGCAAAAGCCCAAGGATGTACAGGAACAACAGAACCAGATAGAAATAGAGAAAGATATTAATTAGATTCACACATTTTTCTACCCAGTAAGGCCCCAAATCATATACAGTGTTCTAAGAACAGAAATATTGTAAGAACAGGAAAAATCAAATAGAATTGATTGTCTTGGTATTAATAGGTCAAAATTAAGTGATCAGAAGAATGAGTCTGTCATCTAGACCCACTTTGACTAAAGGCTGAAATCAAACACATTGGTATGGTCAAATCAACTGAGCATACATCTCTTTTTGGCAACATCCCTTGTTTGCTTATGATACTGGCACAGCCTTTAACTCAGCAATAAATACGGTGATTTATAGAAACATTGTGTTTGGTTAATGGATAAATTCTATTCCTGTAACTGTTCCTATACTATAAAAGCAAAGATAAAGGATTCTTTTTGGCCTAATGTCTTTAATCATTAGACATATTGGCAAACTCTGAAAGGCTTATCAGAAATTCTACATAAATTACAGACCAGTGCATTTGAGTGTGTTAATCACATTAATTCACTTTGTGGACTACTGGTGATTTCTTCAAACAAATTAGATGATTAGAAATAATTAGTCAGCATTTTCTTCTCTCTTTAGGATATTATGTACTGTATATTTATACAAGACATTATAGGGGGAAAAAGACCTAATTTGCCTTAAATTAAAAATTGTTAAAAGTCAACTTCATTGGTAGTTTTGGAGTTTAATTTTCATTTTTATTTCATTTTAGGAAGGGATTAGAAATAAAAGGTTAAAAACAAACTATTATCAATTTTTATCAGCTTTTGTAAAATAGACAATATGTTAAGAGTTGTGGACGTAATGCTAATGGGTTGTTACACTAATAATCTTACAACTATTAATGTTATAGTTTCCTTGCCTTGGGTCCTTCTGTTAGTTTATTAATTACTCAATTATTTCCACAGATATTTATTGAGAACCTGCTGTGTGCAAATACTGTACTAGATGCTGGGGATACAAAGATAAGATGTAGTCCCTGATCTCAAGGAGTTTACTACCTGGTGGAGGAGATGGCCAATTAAAGTTGATAATTATGATACACAGGCCAGGTGCAATGGCTTATGCCTGTAATCCTAGCACTTTGGGAGGCTGAGGTGGGAGGATTGCTTGAGGCTAGGAGTTTGATACCAGTCTGGGAAAGAGCAAGACTTCATCTCTACAAAAAGTAGAAAAATTAGCTGGACATGGTGGCATACACCTATAGTCCCAGCTACTCGGGAGGCTGAGGCAGGAGGATCACTTGAGCCCAAGAGTTTGAGGTTGCAGCAAGCTATTATGAGGCCACTGCACTGCAGCCTGGGTGACAGAGTGAGACCCCCCCAAAACATTATTATAATTATGATATATTATTATGATTGAAGGACATCAAAATCAAGAAATCTTCCCAAAGGCACTGAGTTTTAGAGTTTGTCAGGCAAAGAATACACACACCAATCCCTCATAATGTACTAGTTGTCTTTCTAAAATCCAAATATGATTGTGCCGCTCTCCTACTTTTGTTTTTTTCTCCCCATGGCTGCCCATTTTCTACAAGATCTAGACCAAACTCCTCAGCATGTTCGAAGTCCTTTCCAGTCTGATCACAACCTGATTTCTCCAACCACTCCCCCCCTTCCTCTCTGCTCCCCACCACTCTGTATAGTGTGCCAAGGCAAACTGTTTACCCTTTCAAATATATGCCACCAAAATGATGAGTAAGAAAAATATATTTTGGCTATACCTAAACATCCACAATATCAGCCAAATTATACCTTAAGCCAAGTGGGCCCTGCAATGCAGTATAGAAGGTGATGCTATTCATGGAGAGTAGAAGATAAGAGGCCCAACAAAACAGTAAGCCAGCGGGAAAGAGAATGTTACTGAAACTCTGCCTTCTGAGTATATAGGAAAGTTTAGTGCTATACAGGACAGTTCTATTCAAACAGTGCCACGGTGCAAAAGGGCAACCAAGAGAATCCTGCAATAACTGAATGCTCTTATATTAATAGATACCCTGAGATATTATAGTGTACTATTCATAACAACCAACTTACAGAGTGTATGTTATATGGTATACACTAAGCTAAGCAAAATATATTTTTAGTTACCACTGTTTTTCTAAGTCTGTAGTACTCCCTCTGCATTGCTGCTCCCACCATTCTAGAATTTTTATCTGTATGGTAGAAAATAAATGAAGAAGGGTATCTTTTTAACTAATAAAATATATGTTAATACAGTTATCTATTTAAGAGACTCATCTACATGTCTTGTACATATATATTGATAAATAAATTTGAAGTATAATTTTCATCTTAAAATGAGAAAAAATTGTCCATAAATCTCTTTAAGGTTTATTCTTCCACTTTCTCCTTAAAATTAATGAAAATCTAAAAATTTATTTTCCATCTTTCCTAAAAGTGCCTTTATAACCCTCTCTACTCAACAAATATTGATTTTTCAGTTGTTAAAGTTTTTTAAAACTTTAATGTTATTCTCCACTTTAGAATATTTTCTAGGTATGCATTATGATAAATGCTTTTGGTTAGCGGACAAAATGCTATTAATCACAACTACTATGTCTGTGATGGATATCCATGGCAGGAAATCAAAAACAATTGAGTCTGTCAAGATTAGATGTCTTACTGTGTCCATAAAGGAAATCTTATAGCACTATACTGGACCATTATTCTTCCTCTGAGAGTTCTAAAGTAGTCTGAAAACATTATAATAAATGAATAGTCAGCTAATTCTTTGAAATCATAAAACTAATTTCCTTTTTAGTTTTGCCACCTTTAAGAAAGCTCTTTAGCTGATTATCTCTTTATAAAAAGAATTATAAATAATTTATTTGCTGGGAGAAGGAAAGAGAGGTCAGAGTAATACTTTTTTCTTTTTTTGGAGATGGTATCTTAGTCCTGCCTCAACCTCCTGAATATCTAGGACTATAGGCATGTGCCAACACACCAGGCTATAGTTGTATTTTAAGGCATTTATATAGCTGACATATTTGGAAATGTCCATCTGGAATCAAAGTTTTAACATGAGTGATTATAAACCAAAGGTTTTTTTCAAGGAAAATATACAATTTGCAGAACAACATGCTAGATAAGCCGTGTATTGGGAATGGAGTTGTAATCTGTTCTATTACACATTCTTATAACCAAAACTGACCATAGTATAAATCTTCCTCAAAAGTTTCTTATATGGCCTTTCCTTGAACAAGAAGCAAGTCACACAATGATGAGAATATCACAGTAGTCCCCCTTATCTATGGTTTCACTTTTCAAGGTTTCAGTTACCTGAGGTCAACCATGGTCTGAGAATATTAAATGGAAAATTGCAGAAATAAACAATTTATAAGTTTTAAATTGCATGCCATTCTGAGTAGCATGATGAGGTCTCTCACCACCCCACTCTGTCCTGCCAGGGTAGTGAATCAGTACTTTGTCCCACATACCCACACTGCATATGCTACCCGCCTGTTAGTCACTAGTAGCCAAAAGAGAGACCACATGCACATAATTTTTTATCACAGTATATTGTTATAATTATTCTATCTTATTATTGTTGTTATTAATCTCTTATTGTGCCTCATTTATAAATTAAACTTTATCATAGGTATGTATGTATAGAAGAAAACATAGTATGTATAGGTTCAGTACTATCCACAGTTTCAGGCATCCACTGGGGGTCTTGAGACCCTGGATAAGGAGAAACTAGTGTATTCCGTAAAAGAAGAATGTTAGAAGTTTCGCAAAGGTGTATTTTTAGACACTGAGTCATGAAAGTGGAAAACTTTTTAACATTATCGTCTATTATCCTACACTTTCAAAGTAATGAAAGGGATATTCTGAATCATTATAAGTCAGCTTCAGAGAGCCAAAGCAAAGATGTAGGGAATTTCCTTTGTCATGGGCAGGGTACTCAGATATAAAAGCAAATGTTCTTTTGTGTCAAAATGATAGGGATTGGCTTCCTAAACAAACTTAAATTTTCTCAGTAACAGTGTTACCTGGCTTTTAGGATTCTTCTATTTGTATTTTTGTTTTTTGTTTTTTTGAGACAGTATCTTGCTCTGTTTCCCCAGCTAGAGTGCAGTGGTTTCATCGTAGCTCACTGTAACCTCCACTTCCTGGGCTCAAGCGATCCTCCTGCCTCAGCCCCCAAGTAGCTGGGACTACAGGCACACGCCACCATGCCTGGCTAGTTTTTCTGTTTCTTTGTGGAGATGGGGTCTTGCTCTTGCTTGGGCTGGTCTCAAACCCCTGGCCTCAAAGAGTTCTCCTGCCTTGGCTTCCCAAAGTGCAAGGATTGTAGACATGAGCCACCATGCCCAGCCCTGGCTTTTAGTTTTGCTATCCCACCCTAATGTAATATTTACAAATTTTCTTTTTCTCTATAAAACAAATACAAATAGGAAATGGTGGATTTCCCTTTCACCAACAAA